AATAACGAGAGAATTTAGAGATATTTTAGGATTTCTCTTCGATATGCATACATTGACTGGTAGTGGTCATAGTGTAGTTCAGTGGTTGTCGTTGGTTCATGTCTGTCATATTTGTTTTTCGTAAATTGTTTTGTTATAAATTAGGCCGTTAGTTTTCTCAATTGAACTGTTTCATATTTTTCATGTCGGGGCCTTTTATAACCAACTATACGGTAAGGGTTTTTATCATTGTTGTAGGCCGTACGGTTGCCTTTAATTGATTACATCCACACCATTTAAATTTTGGTGGATATAGGTCTCAATAACAACCATACCACATCTTCTTATTTTTATATACATTACTGCACGATGTATACAAAATAACTGATATTACACTTTCAAGCTTAATTAACATGTAAATTACCTTGCAATTACATATATGTGTAGTTATGCGGCTTGTATATTCTTAGAAAAATGTATCAATGAAACTAGTGGTAAATTTTTCATATCAATGGTAATGTTCAATCTGAACGTCTTTTCTAAACATCACTTAATGTAAAAAAGTAGGATATGCACGTACAATGAGCAGTCTATGTTTTCAAATGGACGTAAGATAATAATACAGTGTGTGCATCCATGTAAATTTATTACCTGTAGAAACAGTTATTTTTCCAGAATGCATGATCAATCCATTGGAAGTAGTCTTTAAAATCATGATAATTATAAGTGAGGTCTGATTTAACATATTTTCAGTATATTGGTCTTATTTGTTTCACATTCATCTGACTATTCGCTGAGTAATTTCTAAAGAAGAAGAAAACAAAAACACCAAATAAAGCATGCATACACTTCTGTCAAATAGGAACATTTAATTTCCTGAACGAATCGTGACTTAGTGTCTTGATTTCTGACTAGGTTAATATAACACTGATGATTAATCAAGAACCTTTCTTTGTTTCCGTCAGTCGGATGTCGTTTTTTTAAGAAAAAAAAAATGGAAGTATTTCAAATATTCTCTCTATGTTTTTAAATTCCTCCCAGTGTTACGATATATGTTGTGTTGAACATCTTATCGTGTACAGTTTGGGTTGTACACGTGAACAAGAAGTTTTCACTTGTAAAGTCACAGGTAAAATGCCCTGCCAATCAAAGTATATGTACAGCGATTGGTAGCTAGTGAAAACGACTGTAAGATCAACCTGTTCAAAAAATTAAATCTTCAAAAACTATTATAAAGTTAAAGTACGATTAAGTGAATTGACGTTAAAAAATAAGACGAATTGAAAATGCCACATTACATATAAGATATATTTGGATTCTATCTATATATAGATTTATTTAAATATCATTAAACAGTGGTTATTAGTGGTTTTTGGATGTATCATCGTTTTTGTATAGTAGAAAATTTGGTGCAAGGAATACGTGAATCTCCTAATAGGATTATGTAACTGTTCTATTTTTCTGTTAATGGTTTTGAGGGAAGAAAAGAATATTCAAAGAATTTACAGGTAATTGTAAATTTCAATAAAATATTACTTATAAACACACTTATATAACCATGTATCTTCATACCCTGAATCTATACCTATTTTGTGTAACATATCTTTCAAAATAAATCTTCGTGTAATTTATGCAGGAATTTAATCACATCAGCTTATTCTAAATGACATAATATTTTTGCAACAGAAATCTTCTTTCATATTCTCATTATATTTCGTGAGGTGAATGCCACAAAGCCATAAATATAATTCGGTAAAGAAATAAACTACCTTATGGAGATAGATGAAAAGTTAGAATAATTATTTAAAGCAAGCATGATATCTTTTTGTTTAACCAGTGATGCGTCGGTAGAATTTGGAAGAAGAGCAAATATTATCACATGCTTGGGTTTACGTTGAAGTATAGTTTCAAATTGATGCACATGAATGGTTCGAACAGTCGGTATTATCATTGGCGTTTTAATCCAAAGATATAATCTTTTGATTTTACACTAAATCTACCTAACTATAAATGTTAAATGAAATGTAAATTCTTCTAAAATGCTGAACTTTCATACTGAACATAAAACTACAATAAAAAGAGGGAAACTAGTAGAATATACCACAGAGCACTATATTTTATGAAGAAAGGTGGAAATTACAAGGGGCTACTCAATTGCTATCAACAAATGGACTGAACGCAAATGTATTTCCATGTTACTGAACACTAAAGAAAATAATGTCCCCAACTGATTTTATGTTAAACAATTATCAGGGATAGGGAACTGGGAACAAAAGAAAATCGGGAACTGGACAACTGTATTTCAACTTGTTATACTGGTGAAGATATTTACATAATTCGAGCTTTAAATCGAGTATTGCCTTATCAAACCATAAAACGAAAGTACAGAATTTTTCTTCATGTAATGGCAAAATCTTCATGAAATATATCCGAGCCCGGTCATGTGTACAACGTTATTGCTTGTGCATTTTTGTACGTAATTGACATATTTTTAATGTGGATTAAACAAACGAATAAATATCTCTAAAGTCAGCCGTTTAAACTCTCCGCCGTCTAGTGACGAATTGTTCAATAAATTGAGCTTTAAATCGAATACTGCCTTACACGATATTAGAAAGAAACGACAGAAAATAAATCCAATAAATGGCAAAAATTCTGATATAAAATAGCAGAGCCTGCATGGTCACATGTGCAACGTTATACTCCGCGTGGTTTTGATTTCGCATAATTTTCATTTTAAAAGTGAATTTGACCTGAGGAGAAGATAACTAAAGTCAAGGAGAGACGAAAGATACCAGAGGGACATTCAAACTCATAAGTCTAAAATAAACTGACAACGGCATGGCTAAAAAAGAAAAAGATCAACAGACAAACAATAGTACACAAAACACAACATAGAAAACGAAAGACTGGACAACACGAACCCCGCCAAAACTGGGGGTGATTTCAGGTGCTCCGGAAGGGTAAGCAGGTCCTGTTCCATATGTGGCACCCGCCGTGTTGCTCATGTTAGGACAAACCCGGTAATAAGTCTAATTCGGTAGGTCACATTTGGGAAAAGGGGACGGGATTGTAGTTACGACATTAGGAACATATCCGCTATCATCTGTGAAACGGATATTCCTTAACGGTCAACCAACTCGTGATGGCGTCCACAAAATTACGAAGGGATGATTTCAACTTCACCACTTTGAACTCTTGGTTTAATAGTTCCTTGTGAGAAGCAACCCTCTATCAAGGATATCATGATTGGAAATACAATATATCATGTTCAATGTTTAACTAACGCATACATCTTCAGAATCCGCCGAGATAACTCCCGGTTTTTGGTGGGGATCCTGTTGCTCAGTCTTTAGTTTTCTATGTTGTGTTTTGTATACTGTTGTTTGTCCTTTGGTCCTTTTCTTTTTTTGCCATGGCGTTGTCAGTTTAATTTTGACTTATGAGGTTGAATGTACTCTTTTGCCTCTTTTTTTAAAACTAAATTCCTTCTAGTAACGAATTTTTCATATGAGATCTTACCGCCATTGTAAGACATTGAAATTTCGATAAGTAAATCACGAATGAAATTATATTCTCTAACTGAAACGTAAAATTCAGTTTTTTTTAAATCAAAAGCACGTGGTTTCGTATATATCTTAAAACGATATTTTCTGAAAGCCACTTACTTTTTTTCAAGAAACTGTAAGCAAATATAGATAGTTTTATTGAAAAATACAATTTTTCAATATATCCCTTTAAAAATCGGATTTTACTATGTTTTCATTATAAATTGGTGTATAATAAACTTAATTTCAAATAAAACTGAGACTACACAATAATATTTTAGCGAGTACGTATATACCGCTATTAAACTTGTTAGCTCGTCAAATAAGACAATTTTGAGGCCAAATTCAATCACATAGGCTTTTAATTGTTCTTTCTAATGTATCGAGTAAGCTCTATGGAGCTCTGGTAACATATATCAGGTCAAAGTTGTATGATCCATGATTAGATAATCAGCAGTTCCCCGTAGCTCCGTTCTGCAGCTGCGTATATACTGGTTATCACTAGTAATATCTTGTATCTCGAAAATATAATAGCTAATGCATACTTTCGATAAAATACATGATCATACGTATAAACTTAAGTTTAAAAAAGATAAAAGATATGGTACAAGATTTACCTTAGATTCATGTTCATATTACTTGCTTACTATTTAGAACGAATAAAGATAGATGCACAACAAAAGTTCTAGATAAAGGGCGTTTTCTTTCAATGCACAACAGAAACATTACACAAACTGTATATATTGTTCTATTATAATGGGTTTTGGTTTTATGCGATAATAATAATAATACTTAACGCTTAATATTTCTTAATATTTACATTTTTTTTCATCTAAATAAAAAGATGATAAAATTCACATCCTTTTATGGATCAGAGAGATATTGACAAAACATAAACACTAACTTGAAAGAAATATATGTAAATGCAAAACATTTGTTACAAGTGATATCCATCTATACAATAACAAGACAAGTCATTTTGTTATTTTTGTTTTATGGTTATTTTTATGAACAAGAAAAAGTCCGAATATCTTGATATTCAAAGTCTTTTCACAATTTCACGATATTTGTACTAATTCTTCATTTATTTTTTTTTAATAAAAAAATAAATGAAGAATTACTACAAATATCGTGAAATTGTGAAATGAAAAGACTTTATAAAAAAAAATCGACTGCCTCAAAATAATATTAGATTAATTTGCTTTTACATAGTTATTACCTCTATATGTCCTAAAAGCTATAATGCCATACTTAGAGCAATTTATGACTGCTTTAGCTGATCCAGTACGCAGTCTTAACTCATTTCCATAAATGTTTATCATCGTGTTCTGATTAACAAAATGAAAAGAATGGGCATGATAATTAAATTCACTGTTGTTGATTTTTCAGTACTCAATAACAATAATGTCATGCATATTCAGCAATCAATCAATTCAAAATATAGAAAAATTAGTATGACCTTGTAATTCTGTTGACAGAGCGAAAAGTGCAAACAATTCTACTGTCTTCAAATAATTCTGACGTTTTACAGAAGATTAGAAATCCAGTCTTTCAATATGCAAACTAACCCCTCAAAAGAGTTTAACATGCTTACAGCGTTTCATGCTATCAAAGAGACCCTAAGGCGATTGCGTGATCACATCCCAAAATAGTTAGATCCAAGCCCGGACAACATACGTACTGTCACAGTTTTACCCTTTGCCAGGAAAAAAATGACACTACATTGTAGTAATAAATCAACTCATATATATTTATTGTGTAAGAGAAAATCGATTGGGTTTTTGCAAATCCTCATCTTTTACGAAGCATGTAAGTATAAAAAATGAACAAATATAGGCAAAGCCATGATCGTTTTATAAGCAAAATAGTTTAACTGAGACGTAGAATTCGTCATTCAATCACTGTGGAACTTTTTGCTAGCATTTTAAACTATATGTGGTACTAAGAGCTCTAACATCGTTCAGGCTCCCTCCTTATTATCAAAAAATGATTGCTTACTTGTTGACACATCTACAAAAAGAAAAGTACATGTTAAAATTGCGGAATCCATAAACAATTGAGTCATATTTTACTAAAAGTGCAAGTTATGGAATGTTTGTATGATTCAGATAATAGAACGACTACCAAATCAGACAAAAATTATTCGTTCAATGACCATTTTGTTTCTCGTATTTCTGTAGACTTAAACAATAATTTAGATATATATCTGATTGACCTTTTAAGATAACAGTAAGCAGATTTACGCAAAATTTAATACGTAAAATGATACGTCTGTTAAAACATTACCGATATTTTATAAATTAAAATTATCCCGGGATATAGGTACATACAGAACATAAGAAATCTGTTCAAATTAGTACTGCATTCATGATTTGTGCAATCGGTTGTGTATATTGTTGTTCTCGACAATTAGTGTGTTGAAATTGCATACCTATTTGTAAAATTACAAATTTCGTGCATTTTGCCTATCAAAATACAAAGGAGTTTATTAACACACGGATAGTATAGGCTACCGTTTAGTATTTAAACCATTTAGAAAACATATTAATTATACTTGAACATATCTTCACCTTAAAGATTGACTGATAACGGTAAACGTGCGAAAATACCGCACACTTAGTAACGATCTTTAAATTAGTTCTTATAACTAGAACTGTAAAGCAAATACTTATAAGACTTTCAGATTCAGTACTCTGATGATATACGAGTCTATATCCAGACAGCCTCTTTTTCAGCTTTCACCACGTGTCAACATGATTTTAGTTGGTTGTTTACAGACCAGCAGCCAGTATAACATGCTTATAGGTTAACGATTCTGTATTTGAAAAGTGTTGAGTGAATGGATGCTGAACAGATTCTAGATAGAACAGTACATTTTGGATGTTCAAAAATAAAAAAAAAAAAACGTTAAAGGGCCCCTTATAACATTGTTAAACTATTTTACAAATCCATCATGACATTGTTAAACTATTAAGCAAACACAAGTAGGAACAAAAGTGTTAGAATATGAAATCAAATGTTACACAAGTCTATATGGAAAGTTTTGTTAAGCAGATACTGGGACTTCAAATTAAAAGTAACATGTCCAAGCATATTCATACTCTTGCATAGTAAAGGAAATGCATTGGCATACTTTGCACTGTTCGCATACAGTCGTTTGGGTGAGTTATGGGTGATCGCATTTGCATATAATTTGACCGTTGTTATTTTGGTTTTCTATGCTCTTCGGTTGTTTTGATTCTAGCGCCACTGTTGACTCCAACGCAGACGAAACGCACGCCTTTTGTTCTAAATTACACACTCAAAACTTACTAGTAGAAATTAAAATTATGAGAAGGACTAGTAAATAAACTAGAAAGACCAGTAATTTTAACTAGAAAAGACCAGTACTTTTAGAAAGACTAGTAAATTTACAAATGTACTAGTTGTAATTTATTTCTCCTTTACTAGGTAAGCTAGTACATCTACTAGGTATTTCTTTCAGTGTATCAGCCTGGTATCCTTATGTGAACTTTATCTGGTATTATCAACTTTATCACGTTGTAGCAATGGATATTCGTCCATTTTCATGGTTCTTCATTACAAGCTAATGGTAAGTTTTGCTTCGCGGTATACCCAATGATTCTTTAGGTGCAAAGATAGTATTGATTAGTATTAATCATGTTCAGATGATAACTTGTAATTGAAATATGTCGGCTTACATATTCAAATAAAGATAATAAGTAATAAAATTTCATACTCGATTGTAAATAAATGCTCACTTAAAATGAAAATGTACTGAACGCACTGCTAGTAACATTAGATATTGCATATTTCTGTCAAACCAAAGGATTACTTTTCATGAGAATGTGATATTACACAGCATTTGCGCCTCTTTAAAATAAGATTCTAATAGTTGAGTATAGTCTTACTTTTGTCATTTTATATAATGATAAAACCTATTCTCGTACAATTCGTATTATTCAATATTGAACCAATATCACATATTTGCATGGCATTTGAAGTTGTTAACCAGTCAAATAATAACCTATCATCGGATGCCATTTTTTTATTTGATTATTTTTTTGAATATAGGTATGTATACCATACCAGAAACGTCTTATTTGTAACATAAAGGTCGGTCTAGTTGTAGATTTCTTTGTTTTATACTACATACAGAGAAGTATGTTTACGTTGTAGATACGATCTTTGAATAGTTAAGTGCCCAAAGATCAAAAGTCTTTGTCACAGATGACAACGGCAACGGACCAGTGCCACATTTCGTAGCCACAATACCTACTTTTTATCCCTGATGGTCTCGTTTTCGCGTGCTCGCCTCGAGTGCGGCAGGTCGTGGGTTCGATCCGCGGCCGAGCCAAGCAAAATACTTTAAAATTGGTAAATGCATCTTCTCCGGTAAGCATGCGGCATTTAGGAGTAAAGCAAAAACTATAGAGTTACAAGTCTTCCCATGTGTAACCTTGTGAGCTGAACACGTTAAAATCCGACGTAGCATTTCTAGTACAAAGCATGGTTGATGTTCATATTCATATCCCATTAACATGTTCTCTAATATTGATATGCATGTAATATTTGCTACCGGATATGTAAACCCAATGCATTATCATATTTTCCTCAATTGCGATACTACCGAAAAGATAATGATGGAGCACCTGATTTAACCCCAGTTTTAGATATGGTCTGTGATGCGAAATTTCTACTTTTTGTGTAATATTTTATGGACTGTTGTATGACTTTACGTTGTTTTCTTTTGTCGTTGTTTTGTCTTTTTTTTCGACGTACGGTTTTTGTTTGCCCTTGGTATTTTCTCTCAATTTTTCACAACTGTAATTGAGCAATACGAACACCCCCAACGGATCTCATTTAAATAAATACGTTAAATAGAAATATAATTAAACAAAGACAAATGAGTGATAGTTGTATCATTGGCAATAATAACACATCTTCTAATTTTTATAGATAATGTAAATCATATTTTTTTTTAATGTCAACGTTAAAATAATAGATGATACTAATGTTTACACATCACAGTATGCAATCACACTAAATATGTTTTAAGTTCCATCTTAAATTGTACCAAGCGTGCCACGTGTGTTAAATTGTTCAATGATTTAATACAGAATGTTGCAATACAAGATCATGCATGTTAATTTGATCGTTTTAATTGTAGTCCATCCACCCTTTATATAAACATAACTTGTGCATAATGTATTTCTGTCAGTTTTAGTTATACGAGGTATTTTCATATTGGATGACACTATCAATGCCTTTTACGAAATAATGAAACACAGGGCGTGGCATCAATGAACCTTTGTATAGTGCCAAGGACAGACACTTTAGCTTGGAATGCAATTTGCATCTGCTTATTATCAGATTTAAAAAGACATCAGATTATATAATTATTGCATGCTATTTAACCTCGCATTCTGCAGATAATGCATACCTTGTAGTAGTCAAGATTCCTTTACATGTATAAGATCATTTTTTAATCGTGAATTTCAGCAATTTTATTGAGCTTTCGTTGCATATTTTGAATACCGTGATCGAACTGACTGTTTATTGACCATTTCGACGTCTAATGCCTCAGTTTAAAAATATATCAATAAAAAAGCAATATTTCCTCACACGTATTAAAGAAAGGTGAAATAAGTTGATCTTAAATCATATAAAAATACTTTCCTGAGATATCAGTTAAATTAAAAATGGTGTTTTACTATACGAAGAAGATTCAAAATTCCAAAATGTACTAAACAGATCCCTGGAGAGTAATTCCGTCTTTTTTTAATAATGTTATTTCACAAGTACTCGCAAAATTAACACAGGGTTATCATGATATATTCAATTTAATTTGATTTCTTGTAAAAATATTTTCAAAACCAACAGTGACCTTAACCATTGTTAAGAACAGTTCTAGTATTGACATATTTGCAAAAAATTCGTAGACTTGGAATTTCTTACCGCTAATTTTGCCCCCTCAGTTGTTTAATATTCAATTACTAGTAATTTGTCAATAAAATAAGTGTTTATACAATAAATTTACAACTAAGTAATTTAAATATAGTTTGAATCGAGGAAAGTGTGAGTGAGATTTCCACCATATCCGCAGACGATTATTCAGATTTCAAAACAATTTGAATGAAGGATCATTAAGAACTAAAATGTCAAAATTTGAAACCATCTTCAGTCTATTGACCTGTAATATTAGATAAGATAAAACGTGGATTTATGATGGAAAATATCTGGGCGGCAATCGATGCAACTAACGCACTTTGGTAAAAAAAAATCGAATCCTGATCACCTCAGAAAACAAAATAGTTTATTTGTAAGAGTATGGGTGCTCCTTTAGTATAAGGACTCAATCTGTAGGAAATCATCATTATGAAGTAATTGGCTAGAAAGTTCAAACAGATATAACGTATGAAATTTATTCATAATCTGTATCGCTTTTTAAAAAAGTCAATGTTTACTAAGCGTAAGGATATATTATAAATTCCGAGGCAATAAAATTCAATCGTAAACAAGTTATATGTTCCCCGCGGGTTAGCTATCAAAATCGTTTATTTTTCACAGTATTTAAATTTGGCTTTAATTGAAAATTCATCAGTATGAAATATCGGAAAGATTTTAAAATCCAGTACAATGCATAGTGAAACATATAATTATACACGGGGCAATGGGGTCGTTCACACTTGAACAATGGAAGTTGTCCTTAAGTGACCATACCAAATAACCGTATCAGTTTAAAGTAAATAAGGTATGATAAATATAACTGATCGTCGAAAAATCATGTATCCAATGGCTTAAGCAAACAAACTGTCGTTCAACTAAATTTCAAGACAAACATTTGAAAGACCATATGACAAAAATGATCAGATATTTGAAAAGGGCTTATTTGCTCATCATTTATGCGGATAATTCAATTTTATGCTACAAACCACTCGTTATTCTATATTAAAACAATCAAAATACCATAACATGTAGCATTATTGGCCTATTTATGATCGTTATTT